TCATGATTGATGGTTTCCTAGACTTTTAGACTGCGTTTAATTTATTACAGTGCGCGACGATATAGAAAATCTGAAAATGCGATATTGTAGTACATCGTTTCCGTTTTGGAATTGATGCACGCAGGAACCATGTGTGCTGTATAAGGTGAAGGTGAGTGGTTCCCGATTTACTGTTGAGTTCGTCATGGAGATCTATTTGACAATGTTCTCATCCTTTTTCTCTGAAACAGTTCTGACCATGGCAAAGACGATATCTCATTCTAGAGGAATGGTGACGTTCAAGATATCCGACTGGATATCTTGCTGTCCTGGAATACGTAGATGATAAAACCATCCTGGTGAGTAATACTGGGAGTAGACTCTGCCACTTGACCGTTTCCGTAAGCAACACAGCTGCGAAAGCAGGCCTGTTCTTTAATGCTCGAAAGTCAGAAGTTTTGAGGAGCCCATCCAGAACAACTGATATGTACGTAGAATAAGAAAGTTAAGTCTATTGGCTTCATAATCTCCAGTGATGGCTCTATCCAGCGAAAGTTCAGTAGGAGGATTGCTCCAGCCTTGAGTGCTTTTGGAAACCTGTCAAATATTTAGGCTGAGAAAAAACTTGCTCTTCCCACGGAAATCTGCCTGTACCTTCGCCTCGGTCAGGTCATTATTGTGGTACGACATGAACAGAACAGTTGAACTAAGTGCAGCAGCGTTGCTTAGAAAATGCTTACTAAATGGCAGAAACACTTAGATAATTAATCTATTCTCTTCCGCGCACAGGTGATCGCCGTACATGTGGAGAATGAGGAAAGGAGATTAACACTGTTAGACAAACTGGCTGAACATAAATCAGTTACTCCGACGCAGGAGCTGCTTGCGTGATAGTTGAAACGCGGCATATGTTCCAAAAGGCCAACGTGCAACATGAAGAACAAGGAAGAGGCAGATCTGCCTTCAAAGAGAAATATCTTCTTCTGCAGCAGCCAGTGCCTTATAGCAACAGAAAGTTGCGGATACAGCGGTCATTATATACCAGAGATGCTCTGCTTATGCAAACGTCTCCAGGTACAGACCGCTCGAGAAGGGCTGGTAACATCAGCCGAAACTTTGGTCCTACATCGAAAATGTTTGTGCCGCGTGTAATTTTGAACAAAGTAGTGTCTTGCTCACGGTTCAAGATGAGGGTGTCAGCGATCATATGCTAGGTTACAGCGAGTACACTGAAAGACATAGACTCTTTAATGTGGCGGCAATGGCTTATAAGGAACGCTTAAATTTGCGACAACGTCTTTAAGGGCTGTATTAGCATAATAAAAGAATTGTAGTCAAGATGTTATTTATCATGGTATTGCAATATTTTCGAAACTCTATTTTGTTACATTACGAGAAATTCAAAATTCACTGAATTCCAAAGATAATGCATAAACATCAATGGAGACCGAGAATACCTGTGCTGTTTAGGTTTCGCAATTAGCCTAAAAAGCTACAAGCAAAGACGCAGAAATCGCTCTAAGCAGTCAACCAAGCAGATAGGAGGATGAATTTTAGAAAAACAAAGTTAATGTGCAAAGTTATAACGAGTAAACATAGGAAACGAGTTGACGAATCTAAACTTCAGTTGTCAAGAAACGTTCAAAGATCCAAAGCTAAGTTAGAGCAACAAACCAAATATACTGAAAAATAAGGATTCCCGTCTGTCCATTATCACTCATGGTCAGGATAAAACCGGAAAAGTACAAGTGGAACGATCGAAATGCTTGCACATAACCGTTATTCGATATTCGACGTGTCCTCGTTATTGGTGCTCTATGAGTGAAAGTCAAAGCTGCTGCAACGTTCTTTATTTCACGCTTTCTGCCTCGATCGCTGACCAAGTAATCTGAACAATGGTTCCTCCCAGCTTGATCTTGAACGACTGACCAGATGCTGATGGACTGGCGGAATCTAATCTGTAGTTTTACAGTCCACCGGTTGTCTTGCAAGCGAGCCGCATGACGAACCCATCTTCCCTTGGCGTTGTATGAGGCAAAAGTTACATCTGTGAATTGTGTCCGTTGTCGAATTAGTGCACTGGGAATGTGATTCCGGAGGTCCACCTCACATTTTTTGCTCTATCGCTCTTCGCCTGACAATCAGTTCGTGCTCCTCGGTTTCAGTAGCAAACAAACATTCAGTGCCGTAGATCATGGCACTACGATGGCTGAGTCAAGCAGTTCTTCCTCTGCTCACATGGGCAGATTGCTGTCGAGTAATGATGTCTCAGGCAGCCTTCCTTGTTCAACTGATTTCCTCGTTTTGTGAGTTCACAGAATCCACCTGTGGCGAAGGTATGCATAGCTGGTGATTTCTTCGAATTCTTCTCCATTCGTCTAGATAAAACCCTCAGACAGTACTCGCTTCGTATCCATTTCTTCTTGGAGAGGTAACCCCCCCCCCAAACTGATCCTGAGAGATTCTTCTTGCAACAGCTATATCTGCTGCAGCTGTATCGTGTCTTGTGCAAAGATGATGCAGTCGTTCGCAAATAACAAGTTCATCAGCTGCTCTCCATCAGTACTGATGGCTTTGCACAAGTTTGGTAAATTAAAAAGTAACTCCAAGGCTGCGGATACGAGCGCTAGTGAGATGATATTTTCTTGGAACTCTCATCAATGAATATTGATGCGGCATGGCTCGTTGAACCGCTGTTAAATTCGTCCACCAGACTGAAGTAAACAGGGTTTATGACATGTTCATGCAATACAGTTAGCATAGCCGTCAAATTTACTCAATCGAACGACTTTTTGTAGTCCATGAAGCAGTAGCGTTTGATATTCGTCTGCTGCTGGATGACATGCGTCTGTATTCGAAAACCGGCCTGTTCGTGACTTGTGATTAGATGGAGGTCATTCCGAATGCGGTTGAGAATGATGCGGCTGAAACCTTTGTAGATTTCTGACAGGAGTGCAATTGGTCGATATTTCTTGAGGTCTTTAAAGTCGCTTTTTTTCATGAGAAGATTCATTTTCGATGTCTTGCACATGCGGCGCTGTGCTTTACTTGATATATTTCGTAAAACGTTTGGAAAGTGCTTTAAACAGAATAGCTTCTCCTACTTTAAGCTGTTCTGGTCCAACATAATTCTTGCCTGGGCATTGGTCGTTTCTAATATTTTTAATTGCCTACTCAATTTCTTCTCAAGTTACTTCAGGAACGGCTTCTGAGGCAATGTGTGGCAACTTCCCATACACCCATATTTTGAAAGAACTCTGATTGTCGAAGAATTTGTTGCAGATCATGTTCATCCGATTGCGCTTAGTAATTTTAGCTCCGCCTTCGTCTTTCAGCGCACTGACATTTCGCAGTTCAAGGCCAATATCTCATTTCACCGCTTTCAGTCTTTTTGTCCGTTTCGTAGCCTCTCCTAAGTTTTGTAATCTCTCCTCAGATCCTTCTGTACCTCTTCGCACAATGCAGAGTACACGTTGTCCAATTTCCTCCGGCCTGCAGTTGTGTTCTTCCAGCTATTAGCTACCTTGTTGAAGAGCTGATGCATTGGTTTCTCGTTCAGTTTGCTGTCCACCTTGATGTTCTAACGGCAATCATGATGGCACTGGAAAAATGATCCCAACCTGCTTCTATGCCCTCGCTGATGTTCATTTCAAGGTACGCTAAGGGAAGCCTCTCCGTGAAAGCCTCCGGATCGAACCGTAGTTTTCCACAAAGCGGTGATATTTTAGCTCTTTGGGTCCGCTCCTCCTTTACGACATCAGTCGTAACTCTGGAGCATGAACTTTGCCGTGTGGCCCTGTATGAAAATATGGCCTTGTAAATATTCTCACCTACGACCGACACGCCTGATATTATTCGCTTCTTGTCTGTCAGTGCATCATCGATTTGGTTCAAAGAGTTTCCGTCTAGGTTTCTCAATGTTCACCGTCGCTTTGGAACATTCTGGAAAACTTGAACAATAAAGGAGAGCAATAAAAGAAATCCAAGCTTACAGTCCAATCAAACAAACTGGGGATGTAGAGATCGAGCAATTCTACAAGGAAGTGCAAAGCGCAATGGAGAAGAATACAAAACGTTAGATTTTCTTAGGCGAATTAAACGCAGTGGTCGAGACAAGAGCGAACTTCGGAGAGGTACTTATGAACAAATATGAAAAAGGCGAATAAAATGAATATGAAGATCGCTTCGTAACTTTCTCTGAAGGAAACCATGTATACAGCATAAACATGTCATGTACAACTCAGAAGAGAATGTATTAATGATCCAAGGTTCCATTCACATCATGCTGTTTAACAGACAACGGTAGGTAATTTATAATTTTCGACAGAAGGTTAGATTATTCTATGTCTTTGTTTATGCAATAAAAGTTAATGAATATTTAACGATTTGAGCGTTTAAGAAGAGCGTAATATTAATTTTTCGAAAAACCTAAGCGAACTTTCAAGGATTTAATAAATCACAGTGACCGTTCGAAGCTGAGAAAATATCGAGAACAACAGTATTGACTTGCCTCATCGGAGTGAGTTTGTTTCACATTTCTCATTTTACAGAGAGCCAAAGGATGCTTAAGGCATCGAAAGAGGCTGTAAATTCCTTATGAAATTTATGCGGTAGAGTTATATAAGGAATTCTCGCTCATGCTAAAATGGTTCGATCTGAATCTCACTTGAGTTGTGAAATGTGTTTGATTCCCAGTGGGGCATGGTTTTCGAGTTTGTCAAATAGAGCTACTTGAAGTTAACTGTGTTTTGCTGACTGAACTCCAAACTGAATGTATTTACAGCGTCGGTAAGGAAGCAACAGGAACAGATTTCTCTCAATGGTTAGTTCCAATGCGTTGAACACTAGTGAATAAATGAAAGCAAATCAAATGGGATTCAGATCAGTTAATTTCGTCAGTCATCCATAGAGCACTTTGATTTTATGGTGAACTTTGCATCAGCGAAAAGATGTGGGTAGTTTATTTCAAGCTAAGTCGTTTGACAGATTGAGCTTTGAGCTTTGTTTGTCAAGTCATTCGTTCATTTATTCAATCGATGGTGACTCAATGACTCACCTTCCATGATCGCTTGTCGTTCCTCCTCGGTGGTTCTCGTTTCGCTGAGGATTACTTCTTCGGCTTTACATATCCACTCAAGGTATCCGTTCAATTCACGTTCAATCTGCTGTTGTCTGCGTAACTTCAGAAATTCACGTCGATTCTCGACTCGCTCTCGTTCCTTAGCAAATTCACTGCAAGAAACATGTTAGATTATTGGCATTTAATTTTTAAAACTTTGTAAAACAGACCCGCTGAGAACTCCAAGAACCAAGTTCAACATGAAAAAAGAGCCCAATATAATTAGAGGTATAAAGTATAGCCAATTGAACGTGTCTCCTTGCGAATCATTCGTCTACAAGCGAAATTGAAATTCGTTGCTACCCGCAGACGTAGGTTTACATTCACTCACATAGTACATAACGGAAGTCCAGCCTTCCATTGTGATGCATTGGAACACGGTGAGCATGGCGAAAGCAATATTGTCGAAAGACGTGATGCCATAATTTGGCCCAATCCATTTTTCCTTGCATGCAGTTCCACTCGGGCAGTGATATGCGCCATTGGTTGTTTTGTTAGTGCAAGGAAAAAGTTTATTTCCAATTGATACAGGTTTTTCTAGAACTGCTGAACCGTTATGTGGTCTCGAAAGACAAACGCCAATTAAATTACCTTCTTCGTTGTAACAAGTGCTATGGAACGATCCTGAATAGAATTCCAATCCTATGATTGCAAATATTACAATGGCAAAAAGAACAAGCAGTCCTATTTGCAAAAGTGGAGCCATGGCACAAAGTATAGATTTTAGCACCACTTGAAGGCCTAAATGCAAAATCTCAAAAATACACTTTAAATGCCACAAACTAACTTACTTGGAATGCCTGATACAAGTTTCAGCGGCCTTAAGACTCGAACTGCCCTGAGCGTCCGTAAGTCCACGCCACTAGTCGTGAAAGGAAGCATGGAAATAACTCTGAATCGAAATTGAAATCAACTTTCATTGCAATGCCTAAATGCTACCCTTACCCGCTGACAACAACAATAAAATCGAGTATGTTCCAGCCGCTGCGCAAATAAGAGTCCTTGTGAAGTATGAAACCGAAGGCAATCACTTTAAGCACACATTCGATCGTGAATATTCCCATAAAATATGGTTCCGTCGACTCCTATTAAAACAGAGTTTCTGGTTATATTTGGAACATCTGAAGAAAAGATTATTTCTCTAAACGGATCAACTGAAGATAGAAATGTACACTGAAAAGTATAATGAAAAGTAGAATGGAAACTGAAAGGAACAAACTCGCGAAACTTGCAGTTTAAGTTTGAAGGGTGCGGATGAAATGAGGCGTAGCACCGTGGTCAACTGCTCAGTGATGATCCATCAGATATTCTAAACTAGTTCACCAATTTGCGACCAGGGTAGCGACAGAGTTGAAAAATGGGACTAGTAAAACGTGTCCTTTCCTCACCAAAGCACGGAGCAGAAGTTACTGCAGTGACACCCAGCAATTAATGGTTCCGAAACGTAAAAATATGAAAAACTGGCGAAAGGCAATTGAAGGATGTTGTACAGTTAAGTGATGAATACTGTAGCCCGTGCGGTCAAACAAAAATCCGTCATCGTTATGTTATGTTACGCAACAAGGCCAGCGAGCCTCTTCAGGGCGCTGGTGGTCTCCTTAAACCACGAGCTGAACACTTCGCGCAACTTTTAAAACGAACCTACGGTAGATATTGCAACAAAAATGAACAATAGACCGTTCCACCAACGGGAGAAAAAATTTGAGAAGCAACACATCTCTGTAGAGCACAAAATTCTGCAGACACGATGCGGGTAGATCTGAAATTCTGAAACAGGACGTCGAAAACCTTTTCAGCTGGATCCACCTGTTTTTCGATAGTATCCGGCCGAAGTCAGTTGTTTATGAAGACTGAACGATAGGCGTGGTCATTCAAGACAGAGTTTTTTCGGCTGTACGACTGTCGAAGAATTACCCTTCTGTCTGGTAGGAAAGGCTTTGCTAAGAACATGATTGGGAAACTGAAGGAAGCAATTGATCCTTTGGTGCGAAAAAAGCTCAAGCAAATGTTTTGAGCGGTCATCATGCCCGGACAGCAACATCAGGCTGAAACCGATTTTCAAGTAGTGTTGCAGCTACGAATTGCCCTAGTACGCGACGTTTTCGAATTTCTCGGCAGCCTTCAATTCAGTTCAACGTCAAATAATGTAGCGTGTTATTCCATACAACGGAATATCACAGGTTCTAATAATCCCGATGCAGGTTTTGCATGGAACAAAATGTATCGTGATAACTCAGGAATCACCGCAGGATCGATCCAGCGTCACGAGAGAAGTTCGTCCAGGCGAGGTAATCTTTCCTTTATTATTCAACTTCATTGCATATTAA